TCATATTTGCCATTCATAAAACTAGGATTAAATGGTAACCAAAGTCACAGAAAAAAAAACAATTCTTTCAACTAATGTTTTGTTAATGAACGTAACAGTTTATAATAACTAATTTTCGAATAAAAAATTCGTTTTTTTTTTTTTTTTTTGAAATAGCATTGGATATATCTAAAGAAGAAATGAATAATGATGATGAACAAGAAGTACCTGGCAATGATGAAGATAACATTGATGAACCACCAAGTAAAAAAAGCAAAGAAAATCAATACGAAACACTACTCTTATGGATAATATGACATACAATCAACGATTTGATCTATGTATATAACAACCAAAAAAAAACAAAATAGAACGACATTTTCGATTTCATTTATTAAAAAACGACTTTTCCTTTTAGAATGTCTGTAAACATGCTGATTATATACGTGACTATACAGTTGATCTTGATAATAATTTATGGTGTCGTTTAACAATGGTATTTCCTCCTACTCAACCTGATCGTTTAAAAAATAATATATTAACATATATAAATAGATTGATTGAAACATTTGATGAAAATGTTTATATGAAAATTCATCTTCAATATGAATTTTGTCGAATTTGTGCATTAGATGATTATCTTAGACAAATTTTATCACCAAATTTTACTCAATAAATTTATTATTTATTTGATAAACTATTTAATGATCTTCATACCAATATATTTTACTGTCATATGATATAATATGCTTTCGTTTATTTCCTCTCGAAAATCTAACTCAGCTTAAGTTTTTTTTAGAATATTTGTCGCATTGTTTTAAATAAAATAAATCATCAAATCAAGTCAATTAAAATAGTTCTTATTTATAATTCCATTGGGAAATATAGTTTTGAGAATTCATATCGAATAGGGAAATTCAAGATCAAGTTCATGAGCTGGTCACCAGCTCCTATTCAAATAAGCTGATTGACCAATTCTTCTCAAATAAATTTGAGCTCATTTATATATTCTATTCAAAGTGAATGAATTATGTGTTTTTCGAATAGCAAAAAATTGGAAGTGTGGATGATTGGAAACACTTCTCTATGAGTCTAAGGTCTGCTTTGGACTTCATAGAAGATAAATGTATGAACTTAAGTTCTCAGAAACTTTTTTATCTATGGGATTTTGTAGAGCTTTCTTTGCTGATCATCTTGCTACAATTTTTTTTTCAGTTTAGTCAATAAATAACAGTGCTAAGGTCAAAATACCCAAAAATATCTTACCCGTATTGGTCGGAATAGTTTGAAGTTTTCGGCATTTTGACCCTAACATCGTTATTTATCGATCAAATTTGTAAAATTTTTTTACCAAAATGATCAGCGTAGAGAGCTCTACAAAGTTCAATACACAAAAACATTTTCCGAGACCTTTTTTTTTTGACCCAATTATACGACTAAAACTTGAAACTTTCCGTATTTCTATAGTTCATTCTTCTCTTATGAATGACCAGTCATACTCCTAAATTCCGTTTTTGACGGGCTTTCATTTGATATAAAATTCATTTGATCTATCTTCAAATATGAGACGGAATCATATTATTTCCCAGCAATGTCCAAATTCTCACGAAGTGAGAATTCTGGTCATTGTCAGCAGAATTGAGCTAACAAAGCTAGCCATACCTTTCCACTACTAAAACTATTGAGACTGTATCAGAATTCAACCACAATAGAGTAATAACTGTCTAAAACATAAAAACTCTCTTTTTTCATCCTAATCTGACAAAACAGACGTTGCCAGGAAGTTCCAGCGAAATTCAGAGGGAATTGATTGAAATATAACAGAGAATTGAACACAAAGGGGCCATTAATTCATTAGATATAGCCAATCAAATGGTCGATTTCACTCATTTTCAGCAGAATTGTTAAAGAATTGGATGAGAATTGAGTGAGAATTGAAAGAAAAAACAAAAAAATTCAATTTTAGAAAAGGTGATTCCTAGGTCAGTTTTGCTGATTTTCAGCAGAGTTGCTAGAGAAGTGAGTGAGAATCGAGTGTAAAAATTTGACCAGTGCCTCGGTTCCTTGGTCCCTCATGGATCATCTCTTAATACGTCCTATAATCGAGATTCCTATAATGTTCGATTTCTTTTCGATCATTCGAATACTGGTAAGATCTTATTATATATTCATATTTATTATTTTGAATTTCTTCAGGTATGTCTTCAAAAACGTGGACATGAACGAGTATCTAAAGTCAAAAACCCATTACCTGAAATGTATCGAGTATTAACTGCCAAACCTAAATGAGATTCCAGATTAATTTTACTAAAATTTGTCTTTCCAAATAAATATGCTGCTTATACTGTAAATAAATATTCCCAAACACAGCTGCTTATACTGTAAATAAATATTCCCAAACACACTTTTTTTTCTCATTTTTTACCGACCAGAAGATCATTTCAAACAACAACAAAACAAACATTTTTAAATGTTCTTTAAATATACAAAATATATTATTAACTTTTATTTGTTTTTTCTATACACATAAGCATTTATGTATCTAATAATAACAAAAAAAAATTATCGAAATATCATTCGACCAATTTTACTATAGAGTGCTAAAAGAAAAATCAAATTCGATATTTTTTTTATTATATAAACAATAATAAATAAACCTAATGGACTACCATCTAGTGTTTCTGGCATACCAATTGCTTTAGCATAGTTACTTGAATACCATCTAAATAATTTT